AATCATTTTATTGGGGGCTTGTACAACTCTTATCACAATTCATCCATCCATCCATTGTGTCAAGCACATTTGTACATTTGTTGCCACCCCCCTGGGAAATTCCCTTTACAATGGATCCGGGCTAAGATCTGAGATGGAAATGTCTTTGCCTCAGTAACATCAGATAGTTAACTTTAACATATCCTAATCCTGCCTCACTGGCCCCAGGTCACCCAAACCCACTGCCTTGGGGTTGACTGGGGCTCTGGAGACCTTCGGTCTTCAAGAGAGGAGAGAGCCGTGTCTGTCGGTGGTTTCAAAGGAACTGCTGGCCGTGTGGGTTCGCAGCCCAACATGTAACCCACGACGACGCAGCCAGGGCTCCTGCTTCTGAGTCCTCAGGGAAGACTGCCAGTCCTCGGGCCCTTCCAGGGGACACTGCATCCAGCTGTGTGCCTTTGAGCAATGCATCAAGCGCTAAAAAGCCCACAGGGGCTGCATTCAGTAAGGGGGGCTTTCTAATAACATGAAGTGAAATAACCTGGCTTACCACAGGGTCACCATTCAGTCGGTTGATTTCTTAGCCGCTAAGGACAATGACGTCAAAGCAGTGGTTCCTGTGACAGGGTTTAGCTTGATTCTGTGTTGTGGGGGTTGCGGTCACGTTAGGTACCGTCCATTCCTCGCGGCCCCATGTACACCAGAACGAAATACTGCCCAGTCCTGCACCACCCTCATCATTGTTGGCATGTATGCACCAGTCGAGGCTATACAGCCATGGTGTCAATAAAGTGGCGTCTGATGGTCAGCACAGTAGGTGAGATGCTTACAAAGAGCACCTGTGCCCAGTGTTGAAGTTAAGTGTGACCCGACAACGCCACACTTGGAAACGGTAAACGCCCACAAGTGAGGCCAAGGATGGAGACTGGGCTGACAGCAGCAGGGCCTGCTAGGAGGGAGGGAGCGTGATGGTGGGTGCCAGACAAAGAAGTATGGTGAACTCAGCTGAGGAAGGGCAGGAAGAGGCTCGTCCTGGGGGCTCAGAAGACCTGAGTCTAAAGCCCTGTTCTGCCCCCTTGCCAGCATCTAGGGCTTTGACCAACCCCTCAGTTCTTCCACAATGAAAAAAAAAA